TATATTTGTTAAAATCAATTCTCCTTTAATTTGTAGATGTCGTATGACAATTTATTAATGAATTAATTTTACTATTCAAAAAAAAATAGTATTTACATAGGTTGCAATAGTATTGGATGATAGAAAATGACGAGGCATGAAGACAAAGCTGCTCGAGGCTTCAAGGGCTGCTCGACCAGACCTGTGGGCGCAGGCCTAGCTGCGGCCTGGCAGTAGCAGCGGCTAGTGTCAAGTGGTCGCGTGACAGGGGCGCAGCTAGCCCTGCGGTGCTATACTTCGTCGCTGATTGCATTTCTCGGATTGAAATAGCCATATCGTTTGTTTAAGGAGGCTTCTTGGGGAGTGTGACCTATCGTTGGAAAGCTCTTCAAGTCTAGTTTCCAACGTAACTCGAATAAATATAGTATTTACATAGGTTGCAATAGTATTGGATGATAGAAGATGACGAGGCATGAAGAACTATTCAAAAAAAAAAAATATAGTATTTACATAAGTTGCAATAGTATTGGATGATAGAAGATGACAAGGCATGAAGACAAAGCTGTTCGAGGCTTCAAGGGCTGCTCGACCAGACCTGTGGGCGCAGGCCTAGCTGCGGCCTGGCAGTAGCAGCGGCTAGTGTCAAGTGGTCGCGTGACAGGGGCGCAGCTAGCCCTGCGGTGCTATACTTCGTCGCTGATTGCATTTCTCGGATTGAAATAGCCATATCGTTTGTTTAAGGAGGCTTCTTGGGGAGTGTGACCTATCGTTGGAAAGCTCTTCAAGTCTAGTTTCCAACGTAACTCGAATAAATATAGTATTTACATAGGTTGCAATAGTATTGGATGATAGAAGATGACGAGGCATGAAGAACTATTCAAAAAAAATAAAATATAGTATTTACATAAGTTGCAATAGTATTGGATGATAGAAGATGACGAGGCATGAAGACAAAGCTGCTCGAGGCTTCAAGGGCTGCTCGACCAGACCTGTGGGCGCAGGCCTAGCTGCGGCCTGGCAGTAGCTGCGGCTAGTGTCAAGTGGTCGCGTGACAGGGGCGCAGCTAGCCCTGCGGTGCTATACTTCGTCGCTGTGCATTTCTCGGATTGAAATAGCCATATCGTTTGTTTAAGGAGGCTTCTTGGGGAGTGTGACCTATCGTTGGAAAGATCTTCAAGTCTAGTTTCCAACGTAACTCGAATAAATCCAATCCAATCTCTAGAAATCAAGTTATGATCAAAAGAATGGACAAGGGTCAATTTTTTCACTTCGTAAAACATCGTTTGACTTCATTTCTAATTCAAATTCATTTCCGAAAGATGCATAAAAACCTTGTGGAAGCTATTTTCCTCATGCATAAAATCCTCAAATCAACATCCACGAAGATAGACTCTTCGATCAATGAACTCGATCAAACGACCTTACATCCAAATATCACCCGAATTAACTCTAAATACTTCGAAAACATCCAAATGATTATGAAATCACTTGAAACATTAAAAAGCACAAACGAAGCGTAATAGAGTACAAAATGGACAACTTATGCTAATATAACCTAAAAAGCGACTAAAAGACCTAAACAACAACTATGAAAGTAGCATAAACATGCCTATAAATCCTATTTAAATGTGATTCATCAATATGTAGCAACTTTTATTTTGAATCTATGAAATTGCAATTAACCCCTCTAAAATTCAATAATCAATTGTTTTCCTTGATAATTTTTTTTTTATTAATTTTTCTTTTAGTTAATCGATTGTAATATTTACCTCAAATCAAATTGTCTCTTATGTTTTGAGAGGTCTAATTTTAAAAATTAGCACAGGGCCTCCTAAAAAATTGAGACGACATTGTGTAAACCGTTAATGGATCATTATATTAAAAATTGAACTAACCAAAAGCAACCAGGAATAAGATACTTAATCCACTAAGGTTACACTAATCTAATGATCTATATATGAGATCGCGGACTACATATGGTCTTGAACCATCTAGAATTAAAGGATCGATGAAGGTATGAAATTGAGCCATGAGACCAATTTCACCCATATTAGCCTCTGTTCAGATCTTTTATGACATATTATTATTTGCAATTCAAATGACACAAATACAAGAATTCAATTGACTCCAAACAAATTATTGCCCCATATTAGCTTTATAATGCACACATAAAAAACTATTATCATGATCACTTTATGAAAAATCAAAATTACACAACCTAATTTGATCATATATAATTATCTTATTAGGCGTGAGGTTCAAATACTTATATTATTATTTAACAATAAATAAAGTGATCAAAATAAACCAATAATAATATGTAATACTTCATAATAAATAACCATCAAAGCAACCACAATAATCAAGGTATTAAAAGAATATAGTTAAATGCTCAAAATTCTACAAGAGAATACATACTTTGATTGCCTGATTTGAAGTCTACATCATCATCAAACAAACATTAGTAACTTCTAAGTACAAAAATGCAATTTAACAACCTAAGAAATAATGAAATTAAATCAGAAGGTAATATATGCAATCCTTGGAAATTGTATCTTTTTATCATCGTTTTTTTTTTTTTTGTTTTTTTTGTTTTTTTTTTTTACTTTACAGTGAGAACCAAAAACAAAACAAACCAAACAAACAAACGACCAAAAAAAAAAAAAATGTCGACGACGAGCTTGTCCAGCTAACCAATGCGCAGGAGAAACCCGCAATCGGGGTACCTTCACAATTCGACAAGGAGCAAACGAATGAACCAAACCTCGGAGTTCCTGTATAATCCACAACAGTGGTAATTCGTCACGATGTTGCTTCCCCAGAAGAAGACACATAATGGCCGAGGCAGAGTAAATAAGGACCCGACTGAAACCCCTGCGGTGAGCGCTACGTAAACCCCAATAACAAGCCTGTAACTCAGCATGCAGAGGTGAAACCCCATAAGATGCTCGAGCGCCACCACCATAAACCTCCGAAGAATCTAAACTACGAAAAACCCAACCGGCTCCGGACGTATTATCACTGGCCAACCAGGAACCATCCGTAACCATACAGACATCCAATGCACATGAGGAATCCCCTTTGAGAACCAGAAAGAACAGTCTATGGTAGTTGAAACCGGTCTACGAAGCAGAAAAGAGCTATTCCTCTGGAAATCTCGAGCTAAATGACACCGTGAGCTCCAAATACAGGAAAGGGAAAGCACTAAAGTTGGAGACACCTATAACTGTCTAAACCTGCAATCATTTCTGGTAAGCCAAATCGCCTAAGCAAAGAAACAAAGGGAAACAAACCCTCCCAATTCCGAGTAGCCCTGAACAAGGACAACAAGTCCGTCACCCAACGAACAAAAGGCTGATCACAAAGATGCTGCCGCTGGAAACCCATCGGGCCGCAAACCCAAAGATGCTGAACAAAGTCACAATTCCGGAAAATGTGATCAACCGTCTCCTCCTCCTGATGACAAAAGGAACATAACGGATCCACTGACAAGCCACGCAATCTAAGGACGGAGGCCACAGGCAAAGCATTGTGAAGCACCTTCCACCCAAACACTTTCCATTTAGGCAAAATTGGCAAACCACAGAAGAACTTCCACCATTGCAGAAGAACCATATCCAAAGAGGGAACATGCAACCCCTGCATAAACAAAGACGAATAGGCAGATTTTGTTGAGAATTCTCTGTCCTTGGTGAACTTCCAGTAAACAAAATAATCTTTTTATCATCGTTGTATTATATGAGTTGGACCTTGAAATGTTTAGGAGAAAAAGAGTGCTAATTCGAAGCAAAGGATTTCATTTCTTATGATTATGAGGTCAATTGTTAAAGATTTGCAATTGTAGAATTCATGATCTAGGTTACGAAATAACTTGCTTGTGGTACTGTTGGTTATCAGAGTTGATGAAGACTTTGTAGTTTGTAATGTAGTCAATAAGTGCTAATCTCGTTCTCATAGTATTGGGGTTGTTCTTAGGGTAAGCTAAGGTTGTACCAATATTTAACTAAACATAAGGATGGGAAAACTTGTTCTTACAATCTATTCAAAGATTGAGAAGTGTCAATGATGATGCAAAATTGTATGGCTATAGCATAATAATCATCCATTGAATATAATTTCTAATTTCAGTTGTTAATATTTTAATTACTTAACTTTCCTTTTAGTTATATTAGTAGTTAAGATTTGATAGTTAAACACCTACCCAATTCTTGTTACTAATTATGTGAAACCTCGTTAACTATTTATACTATTCTTAGATTCAATTTCTTCATGAAATCGATTCTTAAGTTCCTTAACTATTTGTTAGAGTAGAATAGGTTTGATTTTGTTTGCACTTTGGCAATACACCATGCACGAATTGTATACCTATTTTCAAAATTGATTAAATTTTATTCTATCAGGAAAAACCTAAAGGGAAGAAATAAAAGTGAGCAATAGCATATCTTATCCTGCCATATTGATAGTAAACATGAAGGTTGCAAGAGAGAACTCTAGCTTATATGGAGGTATCGGGTACGTCACCAAACCTCACTCTACACATAAACATGTGGAAGATTACCTTATATATTTGACATTAAAACACATTTTCACGTTAACTTATATGTCACGTGGCTATGCTATTATTCAAAATTACTAGGACCTTTTGTCCATTACGTCAAATCTTCAATTACAGAGTATACACATAAATATATTTGAGATAAATCCAAGTTTGAGATAAACCTTTAAACGTATCTTCATCGACCCACCAACTATGAACTCCCTATAAACTACAACCCATTTTGACCCACAAAACCAAGATGGTCCATTTATGACACAACCCTCTACTGGCACCGATACTGACCTCACCCACACCAAGAAATCTAGAATATGTAAACTGTTGGAAATCTGGGATATACTTTTGAATTTTATTTACATAGCAGATGATGAAGGCCACAGAAACCTCATGACACCAAGAATGTGTAATAACGGTATGATTATGCTTTATGCATATATCCTCCACTCAAAACTGACTTATGAAAAAGTAAAAAACAATAAGAAAACCATTCAATCAATTACGGCACTCTCAATCTGTATTTTTCTCAAGAATAGCAAAACTGATAGTACAATTCAAATCAATCCAGCGAAAAAAGGAAAAAAAAAGAAAATAAAAACAACTTTTTATGAAGATATCTTTAAAGCATTATTACTGTTTCAAACTACAAAGAACTCAAACTTCACCTATAAGATGGCAGAGACTGACTTTCAAACTGCAATCTCGATACCTTTCTCAGCTATACTAAAAGATAGAAAACTGTATCCCGTTCCTTGCGGCAAACAAATTGTATTCTTCAATAGTACTTTCTTTCTTACTGCGACCATGCTCACCTTCAACATGGCAGGAAGAAAGGTCGCCAGCTTTCTGTTCATCTGACAACTGAACACTGTTTCTGTAAGTAGGGAGAGCAGCCGTAGGACCACCAAATTGGAAAAGGGAGAAGCCCGAATTTCTTGCATTCGATTGAGTCAAGTTTCGTGAGCCTCCCTTTGAAGGTGCATCTCCTGGATGCTGTCTAATGACAACATTCTCTCTCCTTGATTCACCAGAGGTGTCTCGCACCCCATGTACTTCAGGGGCATTGGTTTTCTCTTGTTGGTTCAAAATATTAGCTGTATGAACTGGCTGGTAGACAGGGATCTGATGGCTGTTCATGAAAGGAGATGCTACATGCTGCACTTGACTGTACGGCATGCAGAAGTGCGAGTCCCCATTCAGACCATAGCCTATGGGGCTAGTCATGAGGTAATGGTTCGGTTGGGGGTATGCCATCATCCCATTAGCCGAAGCTGCTGACCAAGGAACTGAATTTTGATGGTAGTAACCCACGGTAGATGGAGCTTGGAAAACAGGAAAGGAAATGCTTGGATTGTGGATTGATGGAAGCAAACCTTGTTGAACGGGTGCTAAGCCATTGACAAGCTTCCCGTTCTCCACATCCTGTGTGGATGTTTTTGTGGGGGAGTTCCAAGGATAATGATTACCAACACACTCAGACGAAAAACTTGATGATTGTGTCAAGTGGATAGCTTCTTGCTCTATCTTCTGGTTTTTGTCTTTACCAGCATCATGAATTTCAGATAAGCCATCAACACAAACTGAAATATCTCTTCCTTCTGATTGTTCACTACTATCTTCCGAATCTGTTATTGAAGACGACTCCACATTTTGGTGGTTTGAGGATGGTGTATTACTATCTCCCTCACTTTGGCAAGATGAGAAATTATCAGAACTTGAGCTGCTGCTGGCAGAAAAATCAGATACCCTATTAAGGTTATTGCTAGTCATCAAACAAGAATCATTTTCCTCTTCAGCTGCATCCTTAGGGTGGTACAAGGCTTCTGTTTGACTTCCTTTCTGGGCGCTTCTCTCCACCCTTGATGTAGACTCATTTTCTTCTGTCTTGAAATCACATGATCTCAAGGTAACATCAGAGTCAGAATTACTACGCGGACACCTCTTCTGTGGTTCTACAGGTTCCCAGACTTTCTTGGTGTGAGGTGAATCTCTGCCAGGAACACTACTATAACTTGAGATCTTGCTCCTAGTTCTTCCACAATTATCACGCGCGTAATCCGTTTGACTAAATTTGTTGATTCGATGAACTGGCTTTGCCACATCAGATGCTATTTCTGTCTTTGTAATAGATCTGCTCTCCCGATTAAATCGTGTTCCAGACATGTGTGGCTCAACCTTTTCCCTATAGTCATTCGGTTGGTTACAACCACAAGAATGCAGGTCACTCCTGTCAGTCATCCTGACGTTGGAACACTGAACCTTGTGCCTTAACCTCTGACTATTACTTTTAGCAGTGAACTTCAGAGGACTAGCTCTGGACTGCCTAGTAAAATAATTAGCTCCTTTTGTAAAATTTTCAGAAGGGTCGTCATAATATCTAGACTCAGATTCATGTACCACGGCCCCATTATCCAAACTCCGTCGTCTGTCCGACCATTTCCCAGAAGACTCTTGCAGAAATTCCCTGTGAGCTTTCAATTTCCAACGTGAACCCTTTATACTATCAATTGAGAATGAACCATTTTCCTCTTTGACATCAGCTAGATCTCCATCAATACCATCCAAATTATTGTGAAGAAAATCAGAAGCAGTATAATCATTCGAGGACGACTCATCAAGAAATTCAGGAGAGGCAGACTCAGAAACGTTGGTATCACCATTTTCACTCACTGAGTCTCTAATGCTATTAGTGGCTTCCTCATCAATGCATGATGACAGAGTTTCCTCAGAAATCTCAGGAGCAATAGGAGTTTCACTTGATTGACTACATTTTTTATCTTTATCCTTGTCTCTCAATCTCTCCCTTCTACGCAGCTTCTTCTCTCTTTCTTTGTTTCTTTTCCTCTCCTTGCGTGCTTCCTCTTCACGCTTTTCCTTCTCTTCTTCTTCAAGAAGCTTCGTCTGTACACAAACTAGGGAATCAGAAACAGCCTAGAAACTAGGCATAGCTGGGTATATGTCTATATAGCCCTCTTCTTTTCTTCATCACTTGAAATCACAAAATACAGAAAGTAGATATTACAAACAAGTATACAAACCTGCTTTTCCAGTGTAATTATTTCTTTGCAAGCAACATGTATACGTTCCTCAAGCAATTTCAACGCAAGACAGACAAATATGCTGTGTGCATTTTGGCGGGCAGTACCCTCCCTAAAAGCTTTTTCAACCTGAAACAATATTATTGCAAATTAAAAGATGGTTTCCATGAAAACATACTTCACATCAAGCAATAGTGTGAGCCTCAAATCTATTGACAAAGACTAAAAGGAAGCAACATAGCAACGAGGACTAAAAGACAAAGTGACCAAGTGTACAACAATCAGCAGATATTCCCCTGTGGAAAATTCAACATAACCTACTACTAACTGAAAATTCTAATTTAATCTCATCTGCCATCTCCAAAATAACATCCTAGCCTACTTTTGTCAATTTGTAGTAGCAAACTTAAGTGAGGATTTCCTATATTTCTCCTCAATAAGATAGGGATTAATAAATTTAGAGACAAAGGCAATATAATCTGAACCCTCCTCAAAATCTACTGATCTCGTACTCTCCTAAACTTTTACCCGATCCTTTCTTGTGAACCTCCTCCATAACCCATCTCACCTCTTCTCTGCTCCCATCTTCTCATCCTTCAGGACTTGATTGGTTAGAATTCACCATTGAGGTTCCAAATATTAAAGTTCTATATTCAATTTGACCTTGAAAACAGTCAATCGATCTTAACCTTTGTGGCAATTGATTTGTAAAACCCTCAATTATTTTTAAAGGACATGCTTCCTTCATTTCTCTCCAATCTCTTGATCATGGATGGTGTTAGCGAAGCCTATAAGGAGTTTCAGGATAGTCCAATTTTAGTGGTAATGAATGATGAGAAAGGCGTTCAGGATGTTCTTTGTACCCTTATAAAAGGAAGAGACGTATCAGTGCTTCTACTTAGTGGGGAGAATAGGTGGAGTCACACCTAGAACATCAGTAATATTCTTCTCATTTAACATGACACGGGATAAACTTAGTCTTAAGAAGTGCTTGCTTGGTCAATTAGCTAGCCTTCAAATGCCAAGATCATTCAGATTTTTTTAGAGTTAACAGCAAGGGCAATTCTGTTTAGAAATGTCAGTTAAAAATGCAACTATATACTACAACGTAATTCAAAGTTTACTCTTGGTGGGCAAAAGCATCTAAATCCAGGATGACTTTTTTTATTAAGTGAAGTCGGCTACTTGGTGTTTCTGTTGTTCACCTTTGGCTGAGCTAAAGACCGAGCAGGGCATGAACTTGGAGACTACAATGACTGGTGATAATGGGCAATGAAGGCATAAAAGGAAGGGGAGCAGAAAGGGATAGGAATAGGAAGATTAGGCAATGGATAAATTAAGCAAATATTGTAAAAAGACTAAAACTAAGAGCAATTCATGAAAATCACATTCTCTCTCTTTAAAAATGGTAATAAAATTCCAGGTGGTTTTTTATCTCTTTTTTTCCGTGTTTAGAGGTAATTATAAAACTAACTTGCTCACTTTGCTTAAGAATCTTAGAGATAGAAATGGTCATCATAAAAATCCACAAGACAAGGTGACACTAATAAAATGTTGCAACTAAAATTTCAGTGGTGCCACAAATGACAATATGCTGATACTTGCAAATGCTAACATCTCTAAAAAAAAAACAAGTGCAAATGCATCAATAGTCTCAACAGATCATGTGTACAAGTAACAAGCTACCAATGTTGAGAAAATAAGTAGATAAGAAAATAGAACATGCCTGTTCCTTGAAAATGACAGTAGCAGCATCAAGAAGAAACTCTCGTGCAAGTTCAGGGCTCTTTGCGTGCTTCTGTGGACGAGAACATTCACCATCCAAATCATTTCCATCCTTGTCCATGGAATCATCATCCTGAGTTTAGACACGAAAGTACATGCCATGCTCCTTTTAGAATTAGGTCATCAAAAACAAAGTTAAGATGGATAAATATGTTAATGATTTATAAATAAGGTGTTCTCTTCTTTTAGAACTGTTGGAGGGTAAAGGAAGTAAATAAACCATCCCTACACAAATGCATATAACATCAACATATTAAAATCCCCCATGTAGGTTTTTTCTTTTAAAATCAGTCAGAAGGTAAGAGGGATAGAGGAGCTAATACAACACAAATGCACCAACACATCAAGATCCTTTAAGTAGAATTACAAGCAGAAGACAGAACATACTTCCTCTTCTTCAGCTTCTTCTGCATGCTCAAAAAATCTTCTTATGCTTTCCCCATGAGTGATGGTTACATAGCCATCTCCAACAGCCAGCCTGCAATGAACACACGGCCTTCCCTTCAACGCATGAGCTTTCACAGAAAACTCAGAACAACGGCCATCAAGTTTCCACGCCCTCAAGGTGATGTAGCAGGCATTCAGACCATCAAGATCTAGTCCATTTACTTCAACACTTCCATTCATCCCAACATTTTCAAAATCCAAAATATCAGATTTTCCTTCCCCAGTACCCACTGCCCATTCAAAGTGATGATACGTTCCAATGGAATCGATGAAGGTCTGGTGCCAATCAGCAAGGATTGTGTCATTAGATACCTGATATTTTCAAAGTAGAAAGCATGTTAGCTGTTTACAAACTTAAAAATCTGCACAAGAAAGGAACAAAAGAAGACATCTGAGAAGGATCGTCATTGGCTACAGCTTGCTATAAACAACTACCCTATCTAGTATTCCAAAGGGCAAAAAAGAAGACAGAAGAGAGCATGGGCAGTGGGAATCTGGTCATAAACAGCTCAGTTGCTAAGGTGGATTTGGAGGTGAGAATACCTCATACTGGAAAGCAGTATCTGCAACACAAAACCAACTTGTACACCGAGGTTCTCTTCGAGTGCGTTTCAATTCCTTCAGCTCCTTAAACTCGCGAAGGACATTCCTTCTGCAATCTCTACAAAATCTCTTGTGATCAAACCTGTGACATTAAATTGAGCTCTTTAACAAAAAGTAAAACAAATAAATAAAATTAAAAAAAATTATCACAAAAAAAAAAAAAAAAAAAAAAAAAAAGCTAGGCATTGAAATGCTACAGAGTGACTAAAATTTTTAATCCAGCTTACAGATGAATATGATTCCATAAAGGAATCTTTATCTACAAACAATTCAATTCATTTTACTCAAGAGAAGCATAGTCAAGACCCCCTAGATTCACGAACTTACTACCATTAATGGCTCTATAAACATAGAAAAGGCACTTGAAATACTTCAGCAAAAGAACATACATACATAGACACTTTTGGTTGCTTAGACGGAAAGAAATCAGTTGTAATATACGATGACACTTTGTGAAAGATACATTATGCCTACCCTTTCTAGACAAAATTGCAAACTAGTGTCACAGTCCTTATTCATCTATTAAAAAGACAAAAGCCTTCCTTAAAAATGCAGTCTAACTGATCTAACGCACCCTGACTGATCTTTTCAAAGTAATCTGTAAGACATAGCCCAATTCTATCACAGTAACATCCTAATTGGATACATAAACCCAAAGAAAGCTCGTCTTAGATACCAAAAAATATTAACCTACAAGAAGGATAGTTGGCAATGGTGGCCAAAATATAACCAACATAGCATAAGCTAAAGATACAGAATAATCACAATCATGATACTTTTGCTATCAGATGACAGAGGTAGCAAAAAAGACGTCAATATCCATCAACAGAAGACAGCTTACTGTAGCTAACTCCTAATTTTTTTTAAAATTACCAATCAATAAACAGTTAAACACACTGATATTCTTCATAAAAAAAAATAGATCATTTGCAGACATGCAAAGTTAATGCTTCTAAAACATTTCTAATCACCTTGTTCAATTGAGTATCTTCTATAACACTTGCAAAAGTCACAGGACCCACAATCATCATTTTCATTCAAGCTTGAGCCCAAATTTTGATGAGGTTGAATCCATTATTCCATTTTATCTTAACAAAATTTCCTTCAGCTAATTGGCCTACTACAGACCCAATAGAGGGCTACCAGGTCATCAGTTATTTATTCTTAAATGGAAAAAAAGGAAAAATAATTGAAAACAAGGGGGGTCATTGTCACATTATATATCTTATCTTATTTACCCCCAAAAGATAATAATACTTAGTACCACAGCATGGGAAGATATGTTTTGATGTCACACAATATAAATTAGTCCAGCCAAATCTGATATTATCATCACTGTTCTATTTAATCACATAGAACTCAAACACCTCTTGCAAGCAAATTTTGATGCACGAACTCTTGTGAAATTCACAAAACTAGAAAAACACTGACATAACTTTTGAAAATAATCCAACATTGTTTCTGAGCAACCAAGGCAAACAACAGTGGTTTCAAGCCACACGATTAAGCACTTACATCAGCACTCAGCTATGTACAGATGTATATAATGAACAAGGTTGAATATTAAATCTGGAAATGTTGCAAAATGCATCACAGATTATGAATACATCTTTTAAAGGTTTATTCTAAGCACTGCATTGAGCATTACATAATAGTGAATGAAAAGTTACTTAACTGGCCACCAAAACATTTAATGCTGCAACAAAAATAAGTATATGTTTGAAATTAAACATACACTCCGTAGTACGTAACTTAGTAACTTGTATATAAGGTAATTTACCTTTGTAGCTTGTAAATAGAATGAATATAAGGTAAGTTAACCATGGCAAATGGGCATTTTAACTCTATTACAAATCATAACAAAGGAGGTGTTGAGAGATACAGAGACACCAAACAAGTACTGCCGCTTTTGAGTTAATGAGGGCAAATCTTCTAGTCCTTAAGACAAGCAATTATTGACTAAAGGAAAGAATTTAAAGAGTTTGAGTCATCTTATCCACTAAAGATGCGCAATAAATGGCTTATTAGATAAGAAAAAGGTAAGCGACTAATGTACAATGATCTTATTTCCAAAAGTGCAAGGCATAATCGAAATAGGATATCAAAAAAGAGCCGCCCAAAACAATTGGTTGGGACCCATTCTAGTAGTGGTCAAGACCTTGTTTTGACCTTCAACTTATGGTCAAACTCACACTTACCAAGACTGTGAAATACAAAAAACAATCCCATTATATCGCATCATTTTGGGATGTGAAACATTGGTAAATTAGAAAACACACTTCAAAGTTCAAACACATACTAGTAAATGGGTAACATAATACATTCAATGCTGCATCAAAAATAAATATTTCTTCCATTCTTTTTTAAATTTCCACATTAAGTGTTTCATGCTGGCCAATGCACTTCTTGTACCACTAATATCTCTAATATTATATTAGCAAATGCTATAAAAAGTCAATATTTCAAAAGTATATATCGAGAAGAATCTAACAAGATCTTGCGTGATTATATTTTCTTAATGTATATAATCACAAAATACGGTCAAATGAGAGTATGTGAAAAATGTGAAATTCCAAACACGACGATAAAAAAAAATGAAGTACATTATTGAAATTAGGCATACACTCTGCATTAGTTTACTTATTAGCTTGTGTAAAAAGAAAAAAAAAAATAGATAATTTCTAATCATAGCTTGTGTAAACAAATATTAGGTATTTTCTTTCTATTACAAGTCAGAAAAAAGAACAAGTAGTGCCTCTTTTGAGTTAATAGAGGATGAATATTCTAATCCTTGAAATGAGCAATTATTGACTAAAAGAAAGAATGTAAGGTTTTTGAGTCACTTTATGCCCTAAATATGCACAATAAATGGCTTATCAGATACTTTGGTAAAGTATGTTACTGATTTACAACAATCTTTATTCCCTATAGGCATGCCATACTGGAAAATAAGATATGAAAAAGGAGCTTCCTGAGACTATTGGTTGGGACCTTCCTAGTATAAAGGCATTGTTTTGACCTTCAACTTAGTTAAGCTCAAACTCACACTTACCAAGTCTATGAAATATATCACATGATTCAAATCAGTTCAAAATGTGAAATATTTGTACTTTGGTAGATTTAGAAACACACTTCAAAGTTCAAAAACATACCAGTAAATGGGTAACTTAATACAATTAATGCTGCTACAAAAATAAATACTTCCTCCGTTCTTTTTTAATTGCAATGTTAGGAGTTTCACAATTGTCAATGTATACCATTAACATCTCTAATTTCACTTAAGTAAAAAATTTTAAATTAATATGTTGAAAGAAAATATTGAGTGAAATTTAACAAGGTCACACATAATTATAGTTTTCATAATATATATATATATATATATATCACAACATACTGTCGAATGAATATATATGACAATAGGAAATAATGCGAGGTTTTTCGAGTAATCTTAACTAAAGATGCGCAATAAATGGCTTATAAGATATTTAGATAAGGTAAGTTAAAAATCCACAATAATTTATTTCCAAAAGGGTATGGCATACTGAATATATGATATCAAAAAAGAGCTTCCCGAAACTATTGGTTGGGACCTTTCTAGTGATCAAGCCCTTGTTTTGACCTTCAACTTAGATATGCTCAAACTCACACTCACTAAGCCTATGAATTATCCAAAACAATCCCATTATATCACATAATTTTGTGATGTGAAATATTGTTAGATTTAGATATACAATCTAAAGTTCAAAAACATACCGGAACACGAGTCTTTCAATGAAATCTTCTTCTTTCATCCTCAAAAGAGAATGGCGCGTCTCTTCTCCAAGTGCTGACCAAAAATCTACCAATGTGTCACAAGATAGTCTAGCAGTATGCAGAGCACATGTATCCCTAGTTCCATGTCCTCTCCCGTAACTTGGTATTCCCTGGCTTATCCAACCCCGACCACCTCCACCACAAGCATCAGGGTAAAGCAATTCACGTTCTCGCTCCCTCGCACGTGCACTATCAAAAACCTGATAAAGATCAGGAAATTAAATCTCCAAGATATGTGAAAGAGGATTAACAGGGAAAATTACTATGTTCACTGAAATAAATCAAGCAAACTATAGAAGACTCACATTCTGGAGCCCCTTAAGAGATTTTGAATATAAATAGCAATCTAAAAGCGTAAGCGACCCATCTCTAGTGGTGATTAGACCTCCCCATGGGTGGACAGAGGGGTCTTGAGATTCGTCCTGACAGATTGGTGTAGTGCCCCTCCCGCCGAGCAATTGATCTTTTGAAATCCCAAGCCTACTGCAAGGAAGCTGACCACCTGCTCCTTCATGTTGCAATGACTTCCCATACAAAACAATTTGCGCATGACCTTCAAGCAACAACCCATTGCATCTGGAGCAGTACAAGTTTTTCCTAGCTTGCTCGAATAGAGTTTGCTTTTCGAGCCTCAAGAGATCCTGCCGAGCTTGCGGAGAGAGCTCACTCCAAAACTACATCACAAGAAAAAACATATAAGCCATTATGCAACTGCGAATTAAACATCTAAGCATGTAAACCAAAACCCAAGCCATTAACCTAAACCCTATCATAAGGCTGCCACCTATAGAAAAAGGGTTGAATAAATAGGTCAAATTCACACAATCCTACTCCATTGCAAGGCTCTTTCTGAATTAGCACTGCATTATAAAAGCCTCAACTAGCATTCCACTTCACAACAAATGGACGGTAAACGACAATTGAATTCGGCATTTCTACTCCATTATAAACCTATACTGCTACATAGTTTATCAAACAATAACACACATTCTCCGCCATGATAAAGAAACACCACCTCAAACTGCAATTCAATATCGATATCGATATAGATGTATCGATATCAGATACCCAGCAACGAAATAACATCGAAAACTAATGCTAACAATCAAGCTCGAAACTGAAAACATAAAACATCTCAGTCATCACACATTCACACGGATAACAATTCCTAAACCTGAATTGAAAACTACCCAAAATGAAAAATACAACCAAACAATAAATTACTCAAAAAAATGGATCTAAATTCTCAAAAGTAAAAAACACTCAAAATTATCAATGACAAAATCACAACACTCATTTAAAAATTACCTTCAAATTTATATCATCAGTTTCAATACTAAGATCCAGTTTAAGTAAACCCCATTTCATCAAATTTCAATAATTATCACCAAAAATTAAGATTAAAATAAAAGAAGGTAAATTTTACCTTCTGGAGCTGATTGTAGTTAATATCATCGCGATGTTTGGACCAAAATCCATTACAAGATGAAATTGATCCATTATTATTAATCGATAACGAATAATACGACGAATTCGCATTGCTTAACGATTGATCATTTCGTTGCGCAGCAGCTAATCCTGGCATCCTCAAATATATTTTTTAAAATTTTCTCAATTCAAAATTAGTATAATTATTATCTACAACAACCCAGATTTTTCTTCATCAAACAACCCATCAAAATCCAATACAATCAAAAACCCCTAAAAACTTAAAATCCAAAAAAAAAAAATTGGATCAATCAATCAATCCAAAATTTTCCGATTCTCAAAATAAAATCACCAAATATATAAATCAAAATGAATCGATAATTATTGGGAAAAATTAAAATTAAAATTAAAAAAAGGGATTAAGATTTAGAATTCAAAATGATTAATTAAAATCAAATGAATGGAAAATCGATTGATGATTAAGAAAAGAGGAGAGAGAAAATGAGAAAGAGGGGGCCGGGGTGACGAAGCGAACGTAGGGGTTTTTGTTTCGGTGATGAGATTTGGGTGTTGTTGATGTTTGTATAATTTTATTTTTCTCTCTCTAAAAAATGTTTATAATGTTTTATGTAAATGTAATTATGTAATTTGTTGAAGAAATTAAATATAAATAAGTAGAGAGAGAAAGAAGGAAAAAGAAGGAGAATTTGACGAACCAAAATCTACGCGGTAAAAAAATAATGAAATGAAATGAAAATAAATAAAGTATAAAAAAATAGGTGTACATCTATATATGCAAGTTTTAAATATTGTAATTTTTTATACTAAAATGGAAAGATAATAAAGGGGTTAAAAATGGTGAATGAACTTAGGTTGGGTGTGGTGTGATGTGGTGTGGTGGCATCACCATGCCACATTATGTCGTTACTATTTTCTAAGGTGTAGCATGAACCCAAAATTTTTTTTTAACTTTTTTCTTTTTTTTTTCTAGTGGAGTTTTACAATGAAATATTTATTTGTTTGAATAATCGGACGACGATTTTAGTGAAAATCAAATAGGGTATATTTTGTTTAAATTATTTTTATTTATTTTAGGTCTAATAAATACAGTTAATTTTAGATAAAATAAATTCAAGAATAATAAGTTTGGATTAAAATTACTCAAGTTACTAAAATAAGCTTTTAATAAAGCCTCATAAGTTCAAATAAGATGAAATCAAGTCAATGGACACACACCCATATAGTTGTTAGTTATATTTGGTTATAATTATATTAGTAACTATGCGTACAAAGTATAGTTTGTTAATATCATATAATTTCTTTCTTAGTTACGTGTCATAAGGTTGTGTTGCAAGTAAAAAAAAATGGAAAAAGTACTACTATATAAGTAAATAGAGAGAAAAAGTGGAGTATTAATTAACAATAAACAATGTGTTGTGATTTACTCTGATTTCCTAAACAATTTGGTGGGATGTACTCTGATTTCTTTCCATTTTGTAGCGATTTGTTTCAGTTTTTATGTATGAACAAAATCAATGAGATTTCATTTTACTTTTGCCAACTGTTCATACATATCAGTATTTCAAAAACACATGTGATTGAGAAGTGCTTGTGTTATGGGCTTAAAGGGGTAATAGCTATGGGCTTGTATATTTTGGACTAGATTGAGGTTAACCTTTTTAGCTTCTTAAAATTTGCCTCCCAAATGAGAATAATATATTTATATATCTAATAGTCGATTATGTACCTAAAAAATACAATTTTTTTTTTTTTTGGTGGTCACGAGGGGCAAGCCCCAAAAAACAAGAACAAAGCTAACAAACTAGAAAACCTAGGATTGTGCCTCAGCTTCCGAAGAAATCTATCCGCATTAGTCATTAATCTTTCATGATAGGCAAGCCACAAGAAAAACCAAATTCGTTGCGGTGCTTGAAATCTCCAAATGTGCTTCCAATGCCTCCGATTTTCCCCAACCTGTTCATCCTCTTTTCTTAATATTTAGAGTGCGGGTTTAATTGAAAATCCCCCAGACGGGGAGCCAGTCCAATTAGCACTGTCAAAATAGTTTAAAAGTTAGGTTTCAGTTCGGTTTGAGAACGATTCGGTTTGAAATCAGTTCAAGTGCCTTACGGGTCGGTTTCAGTTCGTTCAAATTATTAACGGTTCGGTTCAGTTTCGGTTTATTCTTAAGCGATTTTAATTCAATTCGGCTTGTAAATAGTTCGGTGCAGATGGGTTGCAGTTTGTTAATAGTTCGGTGAAAATGGTTTTTATCTTGGTTCAAACGGTTTCGGGTTAGAAACGGTTCAGTTCTTTTTCGGTTCGCTTTTTTCAATTTAGTTCGTTAACGGGTTCAGTTCTTATATGGTTTAACATTATTCGGATCGGTTCAGTTTCGGGTTAACTAAAATACAATTCGAGTCGGATTTCGGTTTCAAAAAATCGGTTCGGTTCTCATTTAGGTCGGTTGGTTTCATGCTAGAATTTTTCAAGTTTTTTTTTTCAATTGATACATTGATTAATAATATTCTTTATTATAATTTTTGTATTGACTTTAATTTGATTTTGAAAAATCAAAGGATGCAATCATCTTATTCTCAAAATTTCGAGATTTACAATAATACATCATAAGAATTTGATTGGGCCAGCTTTGGTCCAATATAATTCCTATCACAATATGAAGCACTTTGATGATGTTGTTTAAAGAGAAGACTGATATGTCGTGTTTTGTGTATATTATTTGGCTTATTTTTAGTTAGTTTTGTTAGTTTAGTTGAGTATTTGAGTCCGTTTTGGCGTATTTTGCTTTAGTTTGGATAATTCGATGCTTTTATGGGTAGTTGTGTTGTTTTTGATGAATTTCAAGAATAATGGAACTAATTTGGATGAGTTATGGATCCATGAAGTAAGCCAAGGCCCATGAAGTTGAAGAATTGAAGAAAAGGCCTTTTTAGAGGTAGGCACGGCCGTGCCTACTATGAGGCACGTCCGTGCTTCTGAGTATACAGCAGCGCCTTACTGAAGACCCTAGGCACGTCCGTGCCCAGGTAAAGAAGCAGGCACGTCCGTGCCCAGCAGTCAGGCACGTCCATGCCTGGAAGACTGAAGCTGCAACAATTTTGCTACGTACAGAGGCACGTCCGTGCCTATGGAGAGGCACGTCCGTGCCTCCTGGGATTCTTGTGCGCCAAGGCTTGGCCGATTTTCTTATCTTTTTAGGCTTATATAAGTACTTTTTAGCCTTGTTTTTCGGGGAGATTCATTAAGTTTATTTTATTTTTCAATTCCTATTATTAAGAACTAGTTCTCCATTATTTTTCTAAGTTTTTTGTAATTCAAGATTCAAGATTCAAGCTTTCTACTTTCAATTTTATTCAAGATTTGGTATTTATTTTTCATCCTTTGTTATTTAATTATGTTTTCATTATTTATTATTGTTTTTGTTTCTTTAATCATGTGTGAGTAGATTCTTTAATTCAAGATCTAGTGTAGCCCTATTATTATTGATGCAAGAATTAAATCTTTAAATTCTTTAATAACTTTAACAATTGAATTGCTAAATTGATTGTGATTATGCCAATGTTAGGTTAGACGTAACTATAGTATTGCGATTATTCCATTGTTTTTATCACTGCGAGAGTTGGGTATAAACGGATTTGAGTAAATTAATTTAGGGTTTGATTCATATCACGAGAGTAGTTATGTTTGATAATTGGGAAGTCAGAGTAATGTGTTTAATGTCTTTAATATGCATAATACCATGGGAATAGGATTGATTGTATGTTAGGGAAGCCATTGATACTCGAGAGAGATCCTTGGTATTTATTAGGGTTTACTTTTCCCCGTTCGATTGAAATCGTATGTTAAGGGTAGAATTACAATTGCATCGATAATAATTGTGGTGAAAGTAGATCTTGGATGTTTTAAGTACTTGATTTAATCATCTCATTTAGTTTATTTTCGAATTCTTCTCATACTTAGTTCCTTAGTTAATTGATTATAATTGATTCTTGCTTAGTAGAAATTCAAGTCTATTTAATTATTTCTGAACCTTAGTCTCTTGGGATCCGACCCTTACTTGCTAGTCTACATTAGTATTGGTCTGTTAGGTTATTTTTGATAGGTACGCGACACGCCTAACAAATTTTGGCGCCGTTGCCGGGGACTAACGGTTTCATTTGATTATTTGTGATTCATTTTTGCTAGGCTCATTTCGTTGCTTCGGCTATTTTCCCTTGTGTTTTTGATACCTTTCTCTAGTTTTTCTTGTGCATGCCCACACGTAGCTCAGGTTCAGAAGGTCTTGAACCATTTGATTCTGAGATCGAGGCAACTATAAGAAGAAGGAGAACAAGGAACAGACGCAGGAGAAACATGGTAGACCAACCAACGAAATCCCTCTTGGAGTACGGTATTCCTGATACGACTACCGGAGTCCTTTCAAGCATCATAAGACCACCAGTCACGGCTCAGCACTTCGAGCTCAAGCCACAGTTCATACAGTTCATCTCCAATGATTCATTCGCAGGGCTACCACATGATTGCCCCGTAAGTCATATAGATAGCTTTTAGGAGAAATGTGACACTATGAAGTTTAATGGTGTTATAGATGATGCAATTAGACTACGCCTTTTCCCTTTCTCACTTCGAGATAGGGCAAAAGAGTGGTTAAGAGATGAAGGCACTGGCTCGTTCGATACATAGGACAAGTTAGTGAAGGCCTTCCTAGTGAAGTTTTTAGGGAATAAGAAGACTGCAAGATTGAGGAATGAGCTACAAACTTTTAAGCAGTCAGATGATGAGTCTCTCTATGAGGCTTGGAGGAGATTTAAAAGATTGCAGAGACAATGCCCTCACCATGGCATTCCAGATTGGATTTTGATGCAGACCTTTTACAATGGCATGACTCATGAGTTCCGTATTTACATAGATGCTGCGTCAGGAGGTTCTCTCTTGACAAAGAACCCCACTGAAGCTAGGGAGCTCATAGAGAAGATGGCAGCCAATGATAACTATCATCCTGGAGGCCGAAGCACTGTGAAAAAGGGAGGTAAACTTGATGTTGATGCTTTAACTATGCTAACTAGTTCTGTGCAGGCACTAACAAGTAGGTTTGATAAGTTCCAAGTAGGAACTTCTAACACCCCACAGGAGTTGTGTCAGTTATGTCATGTGCAGGGTCATGTTGCTCCAGATTGCCCACAGATTTCGCAGAATGCGGAAGAGATGTCAATCGAGCAAGCCAACGCTTTCTACTCCTCTAACCCAAAGAGGCCTTATGACCCTTATTCCAACACCTACAATGAAGGATGGAAACACCATCCTAACTTCTCATACAAAAATTCCCAAGCACAACAAAACCCTCCACCACCACCTCCACCCAATACCTACAACCAACCACCACCTGGTTTCCAACAGAAAACACCCAATGCTCACCAACCAATGAAACAACAACCTCAGAAATCAAGCCTAGAGGTGACATTAGAGAGCTTTATAACCGCAACAAACAGTGCCATCCGGCATCAAAATAGCTCTATCCAACAGTTGCAAGCTCAGGGTAAACTTATGGAGAATCAGATAAGCCAATTGGCCAACCAATTTAGCCAAGCCCTAAAGACTCCAGGAACCTTCCCGGGCCAGACTGAACAATCTCAAAAAGGCCAAATGAATGTCGTCACCCTGAGGAGTGGAAAGCAGTTGGACGATCCTTCTACCAAGGAGCCATCAAGAGAGGTCATTGAAGAAGTGGGTGCAAGTGAAAAGGAAGTAGAAGATGCTAGGGTCGAGGAAGCATCAAAGGAAGCACCACCAAAGCCACCTGCTCCATATATGCCTAAGGTTCTTTTTCCTCAAAGATTAGCACAAGCTAAACTTGAGAAAAAGTTTAGTAAGTTCCTCGATGTTCTTAAAAAGCTTCATATTAATATTCCATTCCTAGATGCCATATCTGAGATGCCTTCTTATGCAAAATTTTTAAAAGCTATGCTATCTAACAAGAGGAAGTTAGAAGAGAATACTACAGTTGCTTTGAATGCAGAGTGCAGTGCTATTTTGCAGAACACTCTCCCTAAGAAATTAGGAGATCCAGGTAGCTATTCAATTCCAATGAAGCTTGGAGATATTGAGATCAACAGGGCACTATGTGATCTAGGTGCAAGTGTGAGCCTCATGCCACTATCTATATGCAAGAAGCTGTAGATGGGTGAATTCAAACCCACACGCATATCTCTGCAACTTGCAGACAGGTCAGTGAAGTTTCCTTTGGGTGTACTTGAGGATGTACCCCTCCGAGTAGGTAAGTTTTTCATTCCATGTGATTTTGTTGTGATGGAGATGGATGAGGATGTGAATGTTCCTATCATACTAGGTAGACCTTTCTTAGCTACTGCAGGTGCAATTATAGACATGAAGAAAGGTAAGATTACTTTTGAAGTAGGTGATGAAAAATTGGAATACTCACTTTTAAATGTTATGGGTGCTCCTTCTATGGGAGACACTGTTTGTCAGGTTGATGTGCTCGATGAGCTGCAGAATGAGCAACTTCCCTTGAATCAGAATGATGATGCTCTTGAACAAGTGCTTATAGGGAAGGAAGATGATAATGGAGATTGGCAGTCTAATGAGTATACCAGGTTACTTAATGAAACAAAGGCCGATCCAAATCAGAACCCGATCAGAGAGACATTGGAAGTAATGAGTATTGGGGAGAGTTCTAAGCCTCCCGAGGTAGAGTTGAAACCCTTCCCCTCTAACTTAAAATATGAATATCTTAGTCCAAATAATTCATATCTCGTTATTGTCAATGCTGAACTCAAGGACACAGAATTGGAGCAATTGCTCAACGTTTTGAAAACATATAAAAGTGTCATTGGGTACACCATTGATGATATCAAGGGCATTAATCCTTCTTTCTGTATGCATAAGATCATTCTTGAAAACGATCATGCCTCTTCTGTAGAACCTCAGAGAAGACTTAATCCTAATATGATGGAGGTAGTTAAAAAAGAGGTTCTGAAATTGCTTGCTGTAGGTATAATGTACCCTATCTCTGATAGTAAGTGGGTTAGCCCTGTACAAGTAGTACCAAAGAAGGGAGGTATGACCGTTGTCAAGAATGACAAGGGTGAGCCATTCGCCACTAGAACTGTCACAGGATGGCGAATGTGTATAGATTATAGAAAGTTGAATAAGGCCACCCTGAAGGATCACTTCCCCTTACCTTTTATTGATCAGATGCTTGAAAGGTTGGCAAATCATTCCTTTTTCTGTTACTTGGATGGATATTCAGGTTTCTATCAAATTCCCATTCGTCCCTGTGACCAGGAAAAGACTACTTTCACATGTCCATATGGCACCTTTGCATATCACAGGATGCCATTTGGATTATGTAATGCTCCTGCCACCTTTCAGCGTTGTATGATGGCAATTTTCTCAATGGACTCATAGAAAACTCTATGGAAGTATTTATGGATGATTTCTCTGTCTATGGAACATCTTTCGATGTATGTCTTGAAAACTTGACAAAGGTGCTCCAAAGATGTAAAGAAGTTAATCTAATCTTAAACTGGGAGAAATGCCATTTTATGGTACAATAGGGAGTTGTCTTAGGTCACGTCGTGTCTAATAAGGGTATTGAGGTTGATAGAGCTAAAATAGAGGTCATAGAGCGCTTACGACCTCCTAACTCTGTAAAAGGAGTTCGAAGTTTCCTTGGTCACGTAGGTTTTTATCGGCGTTTTATTTAAGGATTTTTCGAAAATTGCTAGACCTTTAACTGAGCTATTGGCCAAGGATGTCCCTTTTGTCTTTTCTGATGCTTGTCTTGAAGCTTTAATCACTGCTCCAGTCATGCAACCCCCAGATTGGAGTCTGCCGTTTGAAATCATGTGCGATGCTAGTGATTTTGCGGTAGCAGCCGTGTTGGGGCAAAGGAAGGAGAAGAAGCTCCATGCCATATACTATGCTAGCAAGACTTTGAGCTCTGCTCAAATGAATTATGCCACAACTAAAAAAGAAATGCTAGCAGTTATTTATGCTATTGACAAGTTTCATTCTTATTTGGTAGGTTCTAAAGTCATCATACATACAGATCATGCAGCATTGAGGTTCTTGATGACCAAAACACATGCCAAGCCTAGGTTGATCCGATGGATTCTACAGCTACAGGATTATGACATCGAAATCAGGGATACCAAAGGGACAGAGAACGTTGTTGCAGACCATCTTTCTCGTCTTCTCCTTGACCCCGAGGATGGATATGATACTCCTTTTGATGATTCTTTTCCTGCTGAACATTTACTAGCTTTATTACAGACTGAATCCCCTTGGTTTGCTGACCTAGCTAATTTTCTCTCAACAGGTACAATGCCTCATGGCTACTCTTCTCAACAAAGGAAGAAATTTCTTTCTGAGGTAAAGAGATATTTTTGGGACGATCCATTCCTATACAAGCAATGCGCGGATGCCATGATCCGAAGATGTGTTCTAGAAATTGAGGTAAGCAACATTATTTCACATTGCCATGACCTACCCTGTGGTGGACATGCAGGCCCCTCGAAGACAATTGCAAAGATTTTTCAATGTGGATTTTATTGGCCTACGATGTTCAAGGATACCTATGCCTATGTCAAAGCATGTGATAGATGTCAACGGACTGGCACAATTTCTAAGAAGAACGAGATGTCACTTAACAACATACTCGAGGTCGAGTTGTTTGATGTGTGGGGGATAGATTTCATGGGTCCGTTTCCCTCTTCTCATGGCAACCATTACATATTGCTAGTTGTTGATTATGTTTCATAGTGGGTGGAAGCAATAGCCACTCCAACCAATGATGCTCGGGCGGTAAGTAAGTCTTTCAAGAGAGTTATTTTCCCTCGTTTTGGTTTACCACGTGTTTTGATTAGTGACAGGGGAACACATTTCACGGAGCATCGGTTTGAAGCAATGTTGAAGAAATATGGAGTACAACACAGACTTGGCATTGGCTATCACCCACAAACTAGTGGCCAAGTTGAAGTGTCCAACCGAGAAATCAAATCTATCTTGGAGAAAACGGTTGCAAGGACAAGGAAGGATTGGTCAGTTAAGATTGACGATGCGCTATGGGCATACCGAACGGCCTTTAAAACGCCTATTGGTACAACCCCATATAGACTTGTGTATGGAAAGGCGTGCCACTTACCAGTCGAGTTAGAACACCGAGCTTTTTGGGCTATTAAAAGTTTGAACTTTGATGCCAAAGCGGCGGGAGAGAATAGATTGTTACAACTCAACGAATTAGATGAGCTTCGCCTCGATGCCTATGAAAGTTAAAAGTTGTACAAAGAAAAGACTAAAAGGTGGCATGATAAGAGTCTTGTGAGAAGGGAGTTCAAAGAAGGGGATCAAGTCCTTCTTTTCAACTTTAGGTTGAAATTATTCCTTGGTAAGCTTCAGTGTAGGTGGTCGGAACCGTTCAAGATTAGGAAAGTCTTCCCCTATGACACTATTGAGTTGGAAAACACAAGAGGGGAACCTTTCAAAGTCAACGGACAGCGAGTGAAGCACTACCGAGTCGGTGATCCCATTGATGAGGGGGTGGATATCACACTCTCGTTCCCATCACTAAGCTCCCGAGAAGCCATACGGTCAAGCTAAAGACCTTATAAACAAGCGCTAAATGGGAGGCAACCCATTCTTGAGTTTTTACTCTTACTTCGTTAATCTTTCTTTATTATTTTCATTAATTTATTTATTTTTTTTTGGTTTTTTTTATTTTATTTGATTCTTATGTCTAGTTTTTGTCTTGTTTGTGGTGTTAATTTAGGTGAAAAGTAAGCAAAAATAGGAAGAAACAAGGAGGAAAAGCGCTAAGAAGAAGGAAAAGGGGAGAGAATAATCAAATCTGCAGAGGCACGTCCGTGCCCCTGAAGAGGCACGTCCGTGCCTCTGAGGCAGAATGTTTGGGGGGTTGATTTTCTAGAGAGGCACATCCGTGCCCCCCATTAGGCACGTCCGTGCCTCAGATTTTCCGTATTCCAGTTTTTTTTTATTACTTTTTTTTTCTAGGTGAAAAGTAAGCAAAAAGAGGAAGGAACAAGGAGGAAAAGCGCTAAGAAGAAGGAAAAGGGGAGAGAATAATCAAATCTGCAGAGGCACGTCCGTGCCTCTAAGGCAGAATGTTTGGGGGGTTGATTTTATAGAGAGGCACGTCCGTGCCCCCCATTAGGCACGTCCGTGCCTCAGGTTTTCCGTATTCCAGATTTTTTTTTATTACTTTTTTTTTCAAAAAAAAAAAAATAAAAAATAAAAAATTAGGCACGTCCGTGCCTCTGAGGCAGAATGTTTTGAGAATTTGATTTCTGAAGAGGCACATCCGTGCCCCCCCCCCACAGGCACGTCCGTGCCCTCCCCCTCGAATAAAGAGGCACGGGCTCCCTCATTCTTTCATTCACCATTTTTTTTCAACTTTCAAACTCAAGAGTCTCTCTCTCCTCTCCTTTCACTCAAATTTCGGCCAACCCCTATCAATTCTCACTTTGTTTCACAAATTTCTACAATAATCTTCAATTTTTCAATCTTTCTACTCCAATCATACACTCCACTACCATAAAAAAATCAATCCAAACCCCAATTTCTTGCAAATTTTCGAAGAACCGTAGGTTAAAAATCAATTTGGGGGTTTTTGATTGAAGGATTTTTGGAGCAATTGGGAAGCAAGGAAAGGATTCTAAGGTGCTATTTGCAACTATTGTGGATCAATTGCGGGTATTAAACACCCACCACACCTTGGGTACCCTCTTTTCTTGCACTTTCTTTCTCTAGATTTTTATGCTTAATTTGCTACGAATTGCTCATAGAAATTTTTTGAGTTAGTTAGTTGTGTTTAGTTTGTTTAATTTGTTTTAATAATCATGATTAAAAGTTGGTGTAGTGTAATTGTGAGATTTATTTTGCACTTAGTTGATTATTGTTGATAATTGTGAGTTTGTGATAAAGGTGGTTGATTAATTGACTGTTCTTTGTGCTTGAACTACATACATTGCTGTGAACTTGCAATTATGGCCTCCTCCTCAAACCCAAGAAGAAACCGCCCTAGAAACACCTCTTCCAAAAACCTTAGAACCCCTCCCGTTCCACAACCTCCTCCCGTACCACTAGCCCATATTCCACCCATTGAGACATTCGGGATTGATTTCAAGGGAAATGAGGAATACATGAAGAACTTTCTTCGCCTTAGATCCCGACCTTTAGTGCCTACACGGTTCTTTGACCAAGGGGCTATGGAAACCTTGGGTATGGGAGGTGAGGTCCAACTCATACTTAGCCGGCTAGGATGGAGTGGTTTCTTAGCCAAACATGCCAACACCTACTCCAACATTACATACGAGTTTCTTTCTACCTTAGAAGTCCGTCGTAGACCCGACGACCACATCCCTAGAGACGTTTCATTCAATTGTCTTGGTGAACGTCACACCCTTACGGTGAGGGAAGTTAATGTCCTGCTAGGCTTTCCCACCTTTGGCCAAATAGGTAGACCGAACTACAGTATGTTGTCTGGCTACAGCGACTTTAACACATGGCGGGATTTGACTGGGCTAGATGACTACGACCCTAGCCACTCTAAGACCTCATGCATCATCCACCCAGCCATGAGACTTATCTGCCGACTTTTTTCCTGGACCCTATTTGCTAGATGTAACACAGGGGGAGTTTGCTCGGCCAAGGAGCTTTACTTTCTATGGCTTTTGTTAGCTCACCCCGACCCCACTGAGTATGATGACATGATTAACCCAGGGGCATGGTTTTTAGATCACCTATATAACGTAGCCATGGGGTCTGGGGACATTGCTATAGGTGGTATGCTTTCTTTGTTGGTTGTTGGCTATGTGCAGGATTGGGCAGGTTTAAACCAGTACAGGGTCGGAGGCCCCACCACACTGAGTTTTTAGAGCTTCCAGCAGATGAGCTGGGTGAAGAGACGCCCTCGGAACCAAGGCTACGAGTGGCTAGTCGGTCGTCCTACCCTACCACGATCGGTTCCCTATGCTTTCCTCCCGAAGCTCGGGATTCCTCCGGTGGCTGGGAGGGATACTTGAATTATCTCTCTTGATTTCGTTTGGCCACCACAGCATATTCAGGGTGTCCCATTGCCTGTGGGAGAGGGAGCCCAGCTGCACGCAGGAGAGGGAGCCCAGCTGCACGCAAGAGAGGGCCATGAGCACATGGAGGAGGATATCCCAGTTCCAGGGCCGCAAGGCCCACCTAGCTTGGAGGAGCAGATTGCCTCCATGAGGGCCGACATGAACCATGTTATGCTTGGCATGGGAGACTTGAGGAGGGACGTCAGTGACACGCAGAGGGCGGTCACAAACCTGTCGATGTCCCATGATAGCATGACGACCACCTTCGGCGACCTGCGAGATCAGCTCGCCACCTTCCAGGCCGAGTTCTATGACATCGAGGGAATGATGCGACAGCACTTTCAGGGCGGTCCTAGCACCGTCCGGAGGTATGGTTTTCCCCCCCACCCCTCCTGATCAGTAGTTTGCTTTTCCTTTCCCCTTGTTCATTTAACACTGTTATATGCATACATTGAGGACAATGTATGATTTAGCTTGGGGGAGGATATGCTTTTCACCTTGTATATATTAGATTTATTTCAGTTTTTGGGTAGTTTATTTCTTTCTAGTGTCGAATAATATGCCATTGCATGACTATGCTTCTATGATTATAATCACATATGTGTGCTTTTTGAAAAAAAAAAAGTTTTTGAAAACCCATTTATTGATGTGCTTGGATTTGAGTTGGTTTGTGGCCAGGATGGTCTCCCCGCTCTACTTATGTGAATAGTTTGTGTACCCGGTGATAGTCTTGAGCCTTATTTGACTGATTTCACTCTACCTCAGTTATGTTTCTTCTTGTGCGATTAGATTGTCCTTCATATAATCGAATTCTTGGTCTTGTTTTTTTGACTATTTGAGACTTTATGATGCATGTCGCGAAAAGATGATTGAAATTTCCTTGTAGAAATTATAGCCTCCACATTTTAGGCCTTCATGTTTTTTCTTTTTGTTTTTATTTATTTTTATTTTACATTCACCTATAGGTTGAACCAATTTGAGCCATATTAACCCTTTCTTGATACCCTACATTTAAAGCATTAGAGCTATTTTTCTAGGTTTATTTTGAAGGTGTTTTACATTTGTTAAGCCCTATGAGTGTGAATGATGTTGAAAAAAAATTAAAAATGAAAAAAAAGAGAAAGAAAGAAAACAAAGAGAAAAGAAGGGAGATTATGAGAAAGAAAAGAAAAAGAAGAAAAGAAATATGGCCTTAAAGGCCTTTGAAAAAATTGAGAGTTCTTCCATTTGTTTTTATTTATTAATTCCTTCCTCTTTGTGAAGAAAAAAAAAAGAAAAAAAAAAACACAAAAAGAAAGGAAAGAATAAAAGGGCTATGTTTATAATTGTATGGAGTTGGAAGAAATAAGGTTGGCTTGAACCCGACATTTGAATGTGTAGTGGGATTAGGATTTGTTTTATTTTGAGCACCACATTCCCAAAATACGTCGTCCAACCCTTATTTACCGAGCTTACCTAATATGGATTTCATGATTTTCGTGTTTGCATCAATCACTAAAAGTGGAGAAAGTCACATTGCAAGCCTAAAGAGGTCGGTCGTGTGAAGTTGATATGCAGGTTATGCTTAGGTTGAGTGGCTTCATATTTCACCCCGAAAACACATGAGCGTTATTGTTTTTATTTTTCACAACTAAAGTGAGAACTATTCATGTTTGTGTGAGTAGGTATGGGGAGATGTGTGGTAAGATTGGTTGTCAAGGCCAAGTATATGGGATGAATGGTGGTTTTTGTGCATGTTGACTCTTGATTTCGTTTTTATCGTGGTTTTGAACTTAATGGCACATTGTGATTGTTTGAGGAGTTATCATTCTCTTCCCTTGTGATTCATGGTTAAATGCTTGAGGACAAGCATTGGTTTAGCTTGGGGGAGTTTGATATGTCGTGTTTTGTGTATATTATTTGGCTTATTTTTAGTTAGTTTTGTTAGTTTAGTTGAGTATTTGAGTCCGTTTTGGCGTATTTTGCTTTAGTTTGGATAATTCGATGCTTTTATGAGTAGTTGTGTTGTTTTTGATGAATTTCAGGAATAATGGAACTAATTTGGATGAGTTATAAATCCATGAAGTAAGCCAAGGCCCATGAAGTTGAAGAATTGAAGAAAAGGCCTTTTTAGAGGTAGGCACGGCCGTGCCTACTATGAGGCACGTCCGTGCTTCTGAGTATACATCAGCGCCTTACTAAAGACCCTAG